TGCAACGTTTACAAATGACTAAGTAAGACTTATTCTTTAGAGGAAATCAAAAAATTTGAATATAGCATACTGTTTACATTGTTTTTCTCAATTTTGTCCCTTACTTTTGGACGATCCTATTTTGAAAATAAATAAATTATTATAATTCTTTTTCTATCCTTTGCAAATGATTCAAATTTTAGTATGTTATGGATGATAACGACTACCAGTTGTCAAAATTTCAGCTTTTCACACTTGTTATTTCTAACAAATATTAGGTTTTAAAATTTTGTCCCTTAGTTTTGGACGCTACTGTATATCTATATATAAAATTATTTTAAAAAATATGATTCCATCGGTACACAGAAATTACTATGTTTCGAAACTTGACTCAAGTTTAATTTCAATATTAAACTTAAAATTTAGAGTACATAAATAAAATATAAATACTAAAGAACTTTGAATCATCAATCTAACTGTTCTTTCTTGTTACATTGATACACACGCACTCATAAACATACATACACACTCATACACACACACACACATATATATTATATATATATATATATATATATTCGACTCTTAACATGGAAGATTTGTCAGGTGACTAAGGAGACGATCTCAACTTGCAACGACGTTGACCGAAGCCTTGTGAGAAAAATTGGATACTTGTTTGTGCCAGGGTGATTCAGGGTTACTGGCTTTGTTCAACAGCGGATCACGCTAGATTATGTGCTCTATCTTAGAATTTGTAAATAATGTCTGAATAATTGCAGTATAAACCATATGTTGGCTCTGTGGCTGTTGAAGAAACACAAATGTGCCTGAGTGAGTGTTTGCAACAGGGAATACCTCGTGTGTTTGATGTAATAGATAACTGATAAAAAATAATATTCAATAAAAATCACCCTTAACCGCGAATAGGGCCTCGAAACGGTCAAGTGGTCCCTGTTCGTGTTGACCATTAATTCCAGTCTTCAATAAATCCTTCGTAATTTATACGTCGTAAAGTAGGTATTGGCCATAAGAATCTTGGTGCAGGCGGATGATGTTGACCCTAAAGCCCAGCAAAAAGAAGTGTGATTATATATATATATATATGTGTGTGTGTGTGTGTGTGTGTGTGTGGAGAGTGTGTGTGTGAGAGAGAGAGAGAGAGAGAGAGACTGATTAACCCCTGTCAATGTTGGAACTCAGTTTTTTTTCTACTTGATTCCAAATATTTGTATTCAACGTTTCGGCCATTGTACGCTCCGGTTTTCTTCAGGTGGTTGGAATGTTGAACTGAACTCTTTATTTTGCTCACTGGGGTAGACTGTTCTAGTTCTAGTTTGTAGTTCGACATTCCAACCACCTGAAGAACGCCAGATCGTACAATGGCCGAAAAGTTGTAAAAATATGGCGACAAAGATGAGGACAATAGTTCGAATAATGTAAATAGTGATTTTTTCAATAGTAATTTCAGTGATGAATTTAGAGCCACGTCGTGTGAACTAATGGATCTTAGTTAGCAGTTATCTCCTGTTAATTCCCCTCTCCAAGTTCTCCACTGCCTTAACCGAGTATTGAACTCACACTCTTTGGGTCCTGTTACTGGATCTAACTAACGCTTTTGTCCACTGTGCCATGTGTGAAGGACACATGGCTCAGTGTATAAAATAACTGACATCTTAGCTTAGCTAGCGTCGCTTAGATTTAGTTCAAGTCCAAAGTATGGAACACGTTGTGATAAATATGGCAACAAAGATGAGGACAATAGTCCGAATAATGTAAATAGTGCACACTTTTGTTACTATTCATAAATGAATCTTTAAAAATAAGTGAAAAAAGTTAATATGTTAAAATAGATGATCTCGAACATTTTCCAGTTGCATATATTTCATCCTGTCTGATTGTAATGGCGTACACTTTCAGAAGATGTTTTTTGTTACGATACTCAAGGTCAAATACACTTAACATTCGGGGCTTCGCGTGAAAGGACGATGAGATGAGAACGGATACAGAAGCCAGTTTGTCACATTCCATCGAGAAAATGTTCCGAAGGCTTGCAAATTTCTAATCATAAAAAAAGGGAGAAATGCCGTCAATATGATACGATTTTTCACACGCTAAATTTCTCTGGAGCAAGCGTACCCAGGTTTGAGGATCTCTGAATTAATAATATCAGGCTCAATCACGTAGAAGGTTTGATGTCAAGTTACATTCTTTAGTCCCATCACCCCTGACCTTTGCAAGTGGAACCCGTTACCATTCCCTTCGTATTCCATTAGTAAAAAAGAAGTTCCATTTGAACAGCTTCTTCCCAAAAAGTGCTGTTTTATGGAACAGACTCCCAGTAGGTTATATTCCTAATCACTGCAATGTTGACCTGTTCAAGTTTAGAGATAAACGTTATCTTTCCTGGTAAGTTGTATTAACTTCTTATCCTTTCTTACGGTCAGACAAGGTCACCAATTAACACTCTACCTTGAACGGCTCTTGAGCCTTGTATTGGATGAACATTATAAAAAAAATAAAATATAGAAAGACTAGAGTGTCTTTCTATATCTGGAAAATATATATTTAAACGAACTTAATTTAACTACAACTATCGTCACTGTGTGGAGTGATGTCAATAAGCGGCCGTCATATGACCCACGTGACTTATCTCCACCAAAGGGAGATAATCGCCTAATTTAATTTTACACTGTCATTTCCACATGTCGATAAATACTACCGTCGTCTGCTTTTTTAAAAAATAATGAGATTAACAGAGAGAATCAGGAAATACTTCCATTAAGATCTTGTTGATTTCCTCCAGATTCGATATTAATGTGGAGAGGGTTACTGACCAGACTAATAAACAGGCTTCAACTAGTAACATGCATCTTCAGAGCAGAGGCAGTTTTTGTTTTTGTTTTTTTTTAATACACCGGAGCATTAACTTGACTAATTTCATTTCAGTTTACAAAACTCTAAACGTCTAATCCATTTTCTAAGAATTCAGAAATATTTTTCGTCGTTACATTTTCAAAAACAAATCGCTTCAAAGAAACGGTTTCTTTGAGATTTCTGCCGATTCTGAAAGAAAAATTCACTTCACTCTTCAAATCTCCAACGGTGTTCTTCGACTCAATTTTGCTTTAGGAACAGATTCTTCATTGATCAAATCGATGAATGATTTTACAAATTGACTGCAAGTTGGAGGATTGGTTTAAGGAATGTCATTCCATTTCACACTGATTCTTTTTAACATCTCGTCATTTCAAAATATAATCTGTACTTCCGGTATTCGGAATTAGACTTCCTGTTATTGTCATTTTATACAAATATGAAATAAGAAAAAAAAAATGGTGAAATCAAACCCGAGGGAATATAATTCTCTTAGCCCTACGACCAAAAGAAAGGAAAATTGTACAAACATTAGGAACACATAATAAAAAAGTTATAAGATTTTCTTTTTCTGTCACATAACACTTACGTGCGTGTACATGTGTGTGTGTTTTGGTTGCATATTCCTTCCTCAAAGTAACATTTGTCAACAAATTTATCTCAACATCTCTTTCGCTTTTCGAAATAGACTGACAAACTTATCTATCGGAATCGTGAACAGCTGCTACGTGGCACACTTCTTAACATCATCCAAGTCAACAGTATATGAAATCACCTGAACGCTTCATGGGTCTTGTCGTAAATTGGTCATAACTGATGCCAATGTTTGTATTATTGGCGAAAAAGAAATAAAGTCTACCGATTTCTTATATATTGTGGTAATTGTTCATTTCAAAGATACATTTGTTAAAATCTTTTAAAAACCCAGAGTATGTCAGGTTGTTCTATAGAAATGCAAAATCTTTCAGGACGAAGCGGTGACTTCTTCTTGCGTTTTGCTTTTTCACATGCATTCAATTCTATTTTCTTTCGTAAAAAAAATCCCCATCACTAAAAAAAAAAAAAAATAGCAGCAGTGAAAATAGTCAAGAACATCTCAATAGATGCTGATTGTAATTTATTGCAGGCGGGTATTCCGTTGACTGCAGAAGTTAATTTCCGGTTGCATTTTTAGTATTTCCGGTGATCAGATAAGAGGGTATCTGGTTTTCATCAATGTGCCCTTTAAGATCATTAACGAAGTTTTTGTTTTTGAAGCTTAGATAAAATCCACGATGCTTAAAATTTCGAGATTTTTGCCAATGCTTGAACGCCATAAATATGTTAAGAACACAGCATCAACAAATTAACAGAAGCTAAACAGGTTCAAACGGATTTTCGAGATCATCATTAACATTTGCAGTAAAATATTAAAACAACTAAATCAATGGTTCACTGAAATTAAGAGTAGATATAATTGATTGCCAGTGTTGGCATGTTCATCAAGATGTATAGTAACCTAACTAACTACTAATAGTTACTAATAGCTAACTACTTTTGAATTATCCCGACATGGTATAAAATTCCTATTTACAATCAATGTAAACGAATCCTTCCATTAGTGAATATCAACCTTATTGTCAGTACAATCTCATAGTTGAAAAATCTGCGATAACCAAAATGTATCCAAATAAATAAAGTAAATAATAAACGAATTAGCAAACCACTCCCGCTAAATTAACCGTTAGAATAGACTACCAACAATGCAATAGACTAACCAAAATACACCACTGACCCGTGTATATAAATAGTCGAGAAAAACACAAGGTATGTGGCCTGATGATTGCGTTTAGCATGAAACAGTCTGTCGCCTCTGAGTGTTGACTTCAATGTTCACTAAGGAGCGACAGACCTTTTTCCTGCTAAACGCAATCATTAGGCCACATACGTTGTGTTTTTTCTCAACTGTTTATATATACGGGTCAGTGGTGTATTGTGGGTAGTCTATTCTAAAGGTTAATTTGGCGGGAGTAGTTTGTTAATTCGTTTATTATTTATATTATATATATATATATATATATATATATATATATATATATATATATATAAGAGCATATATGTAAAAGAGCATTTTAACGAGAAACTCAATCATCCGACTCCGGCGACGGATGTGGCCGTTGAACCGACCGATGAATACGACTGCAACGCTGCACCCCCAACGGTAGATGAAGTGCGAGATATTCTGCGCCATCTGCGTAACAACAAGGCTCCTGGTGAGGATGGTATACCTGCAGAAGTATATAAAGCCGTGCCAGATGTATTCGCCTTGTGGGTTCATCGTGTCTTCAATGCGGTCTGGCTCTCTGAAACCTACCTTGCCGATTGGAGCGAAGCCATCCTACTACCTTTGTTCAAAAAGGGTGATAGGAGACTCTGCTCGAACTACAGAGGAATCAGCCTCATCGACATGAGCCAAAGTACTTGTAGTTCTTCTCCTGCGAAGATTTCAAGGCATCCGTGATCTACGAACTCGCCCGTCTCAGGGTGGCTTCCACCCGAGCAGAGGCTGTGTTGACCAGATCTTCAGCCTGCGGCGCACCCTCGAACAACGCTGGGCATACCAGCAACCAACAGTCCTCTGCTTCGTCGACTTTGCGGCTGCTTTCGACTCCGTTGATAGAGGCTCACTCTGGCGTATCATGGAGGCCGATGGCATGCCCGCTAAACTCCCTCGTCTCATCAAGAGCTACTACCGGTCCACGCGAGCCCGTCTTTGTGCTTATGGTGAGGAGTCGGAGACGTTTGAGGTGAAGACTGGTGTGCGGCAAGGATGTGCTCTATCCCATACCCTATTCAACTATACAATCGACTACATCCTCGGCAAGGCCCATCTGGACTACGCTGGAGTTGCGATTGGTCGGCTTGTCAGGGTGTCTGATCTGGTCTACGCGGACGACATTGTCTTGGGCGGATCGAACTGTGACGATGTGCAAGCTGCGCTCAACCGTGTGCAAGCAGCAGCACGGGATGTGGGTATGACCATCAATGCCTCGAAGACCAAAGTTATGCCGTCCCTGGCTGGTCCAGTCAACTGGCAGCTACTAACTCTAGACGGGGTCAATCTGGAGGACGTGCAGTCTTTCGTCTATCTGGGTTCAACCATTATACCATCTGGGCAGGCTGCTGCTGAGGTTGAACGCCGTATAGAAGCTGCAAGATCTTCATTCGTGCGTCTCAAGCGGTCGCTATGGGGGCGACAGGAGATTTCCACGGCTACGAAGGGGCGCATCTATCAGGCTATTGTTCGGACTATCCTTCTCTATGGCAGCGAAACGTGGCCACTTAGAACGGTTGACCTACGAAGGCTTGAAGTGTTCGACAACGATTGCCTTTGCTGCATTCTACGATGCCGCCGAATCGATCGTGTGCCCACGGCCACTCTACGTCGTCGCCTGAGTCTCCGTCCTCTTCCACCCGTCCTGCTTTAGCTGAGGACATGGCTAGCACAATCAAGGATGACCTAGCAGTACTTTCGGGTCCACAAGTAGTTGGTCTTCGACGATGGAATCGCGAATGGCTCGCCATTTCGTGTGACCTGGCTCAGGATCGGCGGGCGTGGGCAACGATGGTCCGTGATGCTCGGGAGGAAGCCGATTAAACCCGACCAGGGTGAAAACCGATACAAGTCAAAGTCAAAGTTATATATATATATATATATATATATATATATATATATATATATATATATATATTATTATTATTATTATTATTATTATTATTATTATTATTATTATATATCGGTAGATATATAATGTCCGGATGCACTCGTTTTCCAAGTACACCCGTCTGCTGGGGTGGTTAACAATCCCTGTTGCAGACACCTTCTCAGGAACATTTTTTTTGGTTTAGCACCCACAGAACTCATCTATGATTTATACTGCAACTATACTGCGCGCATTAGTTACAGTTTCTGCTATTTAACTTATAATCTGTCATGGCCAGCAGGTTGAACAAACCCTCGGTCACGATGACTTATGGCTTCGCGCTCGCACAGTCCTCAACCGCTTCCCGGCCGTTTTCTTTCCCACAATTTCACTTAAAACCTTAGGCCAACTCATGGCAATGTTTTTCCGGTACTTTCCAAAGATGTCGCATGCTTGAATCGATGAAGAAATCACTTTCCTGACAAATCGTACCGGTGATATTCGAAACTCGGGTTTCATAGCTGGAAAGCGAACATTTTGACTGTTATATAGTCCCTTTGTGGGCGTGGTCTTTGGGCGACGGTGATCGCTCGATAATAAATTTGCATTCTTCTCTCGCTAGTTGTTTTGATTTCAGATAAAAGAACTTCAACACAGCGAATTTTAACTTAGCTATTTTATTAAGGTCAACGTATACATCTACTATCCAGTGGGTTTGCTCTCCCTCCGCTGGGAAGCCATTTCCAGACCCGAAGGAAAAACGTCTACATTGATCGACGGTCAAGACTAGACTCCCTGGAAACCTTTTTCTATGTCCCGTAAACTTCTGGAAAAAAAATAATATTCTGCTAAACTATTATTTAACATAACCACTCCGACAAACGCCAATATATTCAATAATATATAGAGATTTTTCAGTCACCTTTTCATGTGTGTTTTTTTATTGTTTTCACAAACTTTCACATCTACAAATACAAAGATAAGCTTGTAGTTTATGAGAAAACGAATAGCACGAATGAAATTCCATTTCGTAAATAACCTGTGTCATAATGAGGAACATCTTTTTAAATAGGAAATTGAATTATGGATAAAAACTGAAAGAGAATTGAAACGATTAAGGATTGAAAAGAAGAAACTCTGGGAAATCAGTGAAATATTTTTGTCGGGAATTTTCATTCGCCCTCTTTCGTTTGATCTGCGTATATCACAGTTAGAAAAGGCATAGAATAATTGGGATTTACATGCTAGTCTCACATACATTTTGATAATATAGAGAATTTCTTCCTCACGAAGCACTCCTTTGCCGTCGACTTGTGTCAGACTAAAAACAGTAAAATATTAAGTTTAGTAAATAGTGGATGTAACAAAAGGTTTTCTTTTTTCCAGAACGAATAACTTTTCCACAAGGTAAAAAAAAATAACTGCATAAAATTAATGATTCTGTTCATAGCAGATGAAAGTGACAAAATTTTGCTGAATAATACACAATCAATTACACGTCAACATTTCCGGCTACTTCCGGTTTATCATCAATGTCACTTTTCGTTGCTATGACAATTTTTTTAAGATTCAAAGACAATAACGAAATCTGCTTGCACGGATATTTGGGTGGAAGTTGGGTGGGAAAAGAAATGTTCAAATGAATATTTTTGCCTTTGCATTTCGAATCTTAAATTTCAAACTTCTTAAACTTGAATTTATTTGAAGCATATGACAGGTGGAATTCTAGCTTTTCAATATTCAAGATTTAGAATTTAAGTTTTTAGCATTTAGTCTTTGGAATTTTATATTTCGTTTCTTAATGCTTAGAATTTAGGATTTAATATTTAGTATATTTAGTACATTTATATATTTAGTATATAAAAGAATGAAAATCATTATAATTCGACCACAGTTTAATTAGAAATTTCAACTGATCTTGAATTTGGAGCAGGGAAAGATTGCCAATGTAGGTATTTACTCATCTCAGTTTGGATGGAAAAAAATTCAAAGCAGTAACGATGACCTTTTACAATGTTGTTATTTGCTAAGTTTAGGTTGTGGCCTTTGGAAAGCACCTCCTCTATCGAAGCTACCTTGCTGACTATTAGACTAATGTGTGTGTGCCCTTTTAGTCCTACACAATTCTCAGTTAATGGGAGAAATTCTGTTGTGTCTCTGGTCGGGATTATTATTATTATTATTATTATTATTATTTCTGCTATGGACACACTACCTACCAAGTCTGCGGAAAGACCTAAGGCAGGTCGTGGTGTGTTGTTATGGCCACATTTCATGTTAATTTTTTTTTTTTTTTTTTTTATCTCCGATGAAGTTGCTAGCGTTACATAGACAAAGTTCTCCTTAGTGTGTGCTGTACTTAATAAGACAATTTTCTGTATGTCTCTTAAGCTGGGGTTTCCAGGATTCTTTCAATGTGTTGTTTTGTTCCATTTTTATAATTCCAAGTGCACCTATTACCACTGGTATTATTCTTGTTTTCAATTTCCACATTTTTTCTATTTCAATTTCCAGGTCTTTGTATTTTGATAGTTTTTCAAATTCCTTGGTTGCTTATTATTATTATTATTATTATTATTCCTTGGTTGCTTATTATTATTATTATTATTATTATTATTATTATTATTATTATTATTATTTCCTTTAATTTCTGGTGTATACTCATTTCTTTCTGGGTCCCAACAAGAGCCCTAAGATCAGAAATGCCATCATGGCGTTTTCCACTGAGCATAAAAACAAAAAAAAACACCTAAGATCACACATAAGCTGTGGGCTGTACTTGTGAGTATAATTTTTTGTATTTCTTTAAGTTATGGGTTAAAAGGGATCCCTTCATTAAGTCTATCGGACCCTTTTCCGATCAATTCGAGGGCTCCAACTATAACAGGAATTGTTGATGTCTTCATGTGCCACATATTTTGAGATTTCGATTTCAAGGTCCTTGTATTATGATAGTTTTTTGAGGGTCTTCAAAGATACATTGCAATCTACAGGGTTTGCTATTTTAATAAGGAGGTACATTTATCTTTACAGTCTCTAACCACGATATCAGGATGATTAGCTTTGATTGTTCTGCCTGTGTGTATTGTAATGTTCCATAAAACTGTTACAAGCCCTATCTCCGTAACGGGGTCTGGGTGTTGTTCATATCAATTTCTTGCAGTTTCCTTTCCGTTAAAGTTTCAGATTTTCCAGTGCACTCTGTCATACCGGGTTTTATATTTAGTGGGTGCCAATATCGCGCAACCTGATACAAGATGATGAATTGTTTCTGGATATTTATCACAGAATCTGCATTTTGGGTTAGAATAGTTTTCAATATATGTACTTGGTAATTTCTAGTTTGCAAGCATTGATTTTGTGCAGCAAGAATAAAAGCTTGTTTCTGATTTTAACTCTGCACTGCGTAGCCACATCAGCTTGTTTGGTGCGGACAGAATATTGACCGTGAAGCGGTTTATTTTGCCATCATTCCTGTATCTGGTTTGTTGCATTTGCCTTTGCTTTATGTTTCGAGTATTTTGCAGCTGCAGTTGGTGCATTATGTGTTACTTGCATTTCTTCAACCAGCTGAAACTTCATTTAGAACTTGTTCGCTTCCATTATAACTGAATAACATTTCTTACTTCTTTCATGTTCTTCCAGATCATCATCCAATATTTTGTAGTTTCCAGGTAGCTCCGAAGGCCAATTTTTGTAGTTGCGTCAGACAGTTCTAGCCTCCTTCCCATCTGGACAGATCATCGACATCAGTTTTTGGAAGTTGTATGCGGTGACGAGTGAGAAGCTTTCTCGTTTTGGCGTCCATTCACTTAATGTCAACTATTGTCCAGTTAAGGAAGTTGAAATTGTATTGCACCATAAGGGACAGCTAATGTATTTAGAGCTGATATTCTGTTGTTTTAATTCAGCTCGGTAACATAAGACGCACACACCTGTAATACTTCTTTCTTACTTTCACCTTCATTTAGATATTCCATCCACTTCGCTAACTGCCAGGTATCTATAGGCTTCTTCTTGTTCCAGTTGCCTAATCTTTGTCCGTAAAATCTAAATCTATTAAATGTGTTTCTGTAATTCTCCCTTTCTTGAATGTTACTTTGTCATATTTATCTAATCCGAAATCCATACCGTCACTGAAACATTTTAAAGTATTGAGAAGAACCTTCAACTCATTGTTGTCTTTGGTCAAAAGTTGGAGATCATCCATGTAGAGTAGGTGATTAAATTCGTTCTTGTTTACTTGTATCCATAGCTATTATTGTTTAGCTCATACATATGGGGGGATTAAGGATAGAGAAAACAGAAGAGTGGCAGCCATTCTCCTTGAAAGTTTCCTCGTAGTATATTAAGGCAGTTGGATGTGGCAGTGCCTCTTGGGTGATAATATGGTTTTCCACATTCCCATGCTGTGTTTAAGGAAGTTTACTATCACCGATGAGACTTTCGCAAATGTTAACGATCCAAGAGTGTGACACTATCAAAGGCTTTACGGTAATCTATCCAAATATTTTCCTGTAATTTTTCAGGATCATTTTATTTATCAGTGGTTGATCTTTGCAACCATATGAACCTCTCCTGTATCCCTTCTGTTCCAGGGGGAAAATGTTGTTTTCTTCTAGAAAAGAATAAGTACAGATGTGATCAATTTATACGTGATGGACAGACATGTTACTGGCCTATAATTTTTCAGATCATCTGTTTTACCAGATTTTGGCAGGAGATATGTAAACCATTCTGGGACATTATTGGGATTATTAATAAGCATTGATAGAGTTTGTGCAAAGATTTTATGTATTGATGATAAATGGTAGAGCTCCAAATTGGGTACCTTGTCATTTCCTGCGGATTTCCATTTTGGGGATTTCGTTAGAGCTTGCCTAACATTATTCGTGGTTATATTTTCCCTTTGTTAGAGATTTTTATCCATCATTCGTTCTTCTTCTCGTTGGATCCATTCTGCACTGGGGTTATATTTTCGAGTGGGGGTGGGGGGGCTGCTCGCAAAATTTCTTAGTCTTAGAATATTTAATTTTGGCAAAAGAATCTACAACGCTTTTCGTATTGTCTTCTTCTCTGTGCCTTTAACTGCAGTTTCCATTTTAGCATTTCTTTGATTGCTGCAATTTTATTTAGTGATGTAATTTTATATTTCCGCTTGATCTTCCTGTATTTGCTTGTTGAGATATTTGGGTTTCTTGTCATCTCACCTGGTATCAATATTTCACATCTGACTTCCTTTATTTCACGTTTTAATGTTGCCTTCCAAGCTGGATCTTTTTGTCTGTTGTTTGATCTTTTCATTGTCCTGACCCCAAGCTTTCCATTAGCTGCTAAAACTGTTGCGGAAATGACATTATTTACTTGTGTGATATTTCCCAATGGTTTTTCCATTAACAGTGTTTCCAGTGCAGTGTTATATATTTGCATAATGGACTTCGTCATATGAATTTTTGAAAACTGGTCTCTGTCTGACATTTGTGTAAGAGTTTTTCTGCTGAGTACTTGGATGATGTGGTTTTTCGCTTCGGTGATTTCACCTCTGTTGTTTTCAACGAATTCTATCCTAATGTCGTTATTATTATTATTATTATTATTATTATTATTATTATTATTATTTAATTATTTATTTATTTTTCACTATCATAAATATAAGAATATATATGGCTAAGTGGTACAAGGGTAGGTCGATGGTAGTAGGTTTTTGTGTTTTATTGCAGATATTAGGATTTTCAACAGATTATGATGTTGCTAAGAAAACTCTTACCTTTCAAACTATACACCATGTCTCTTTATTTACTGATGCCTTGAAAATGAGAAACTTTACTGATTTTATAAGCATGTAGATTAATTGTTTGGTAAGTATAGAAATGTCTTGAAAGTTAAATTAATTCAAAAATGGCTCTAAAATGTCTTCGCAAAACAGTAAAATAAAAAAGCAACTTGATTTCCTTCAAGACATGAATATAAAATATACAGGCGAGTGAATTATCCTTAAAGCAGATCATTTACATGAATTATGTTTATTTTGTTAACAAATTCTCTCTTTCACTCATATTTCCAATCTCTCACTCTCATTTCTTCTCTTTCACTATCTTTCACTTTATTTTTCCTCTTTTACACTCTTTTTCGTTTAGAACTTCTTTTCTTCCTTCTTTTTATTTTCTATTTTGCCATTTCTTCTTGTATTCGCTTTTTATACTTCCTTTCATTTTACCTTCCTTCCTCCAATCCTTTCTCCTTCTTTCTTTCCTTCCTTCTTTTCTTTCTTTCTTTTTTCTTTCCTTCTTTCCTTTCTTTCTTTTTTTCCTTCCTTCCTTCTTTTCTTTCTTTCTTTCTTTCTTTCTTGCCTTCCTTTCTTCAATCCTTTCTCCTTCCTTCTTTCCTTCTTTCTTTCCTTCCTTCTTTCCTTCATTTATCCTGTTTTTCTTTCCTTTTTATCTATTTTCTTCCGTTGTTTTCTTTCTTTATTTCCTTTATTTTCTCAGTCTTCTTTTTTCATTTCTAAGCTCTTTCCATTCTTTCTATCCGTCATTCTTTCTTTACTGTTTTCCTTCCTTCCTTCCTTCCTTCCTTCCTTCCTTCCTTCCTTCCTTCCTTCCTTCCTTCCTTCCTTCCCACCTAATAATTGCAGACGAAAGGAAATACCATAGCTTCCTGTTTTGAAATTACTGTGAATTTTCTCACCGTCGCCACAGGTGACATAAAATTATTTTCATAATTTTCAACGAAGAGTGCAATTTAAAGTTTATTATTTTCAAAGAATTTTTGAAAGTTTGTATAAATTATTAAAAATTATTGTAAATTAATTAAATATAAATTTTCAAATTAATTAAAATGTCAGAATTTATAAAAAAATTTATAAAAAAAAATCAAATGCCAAATGAATTCCATTTCGTGCGGAGAGATTTTGACTTATTCTTTTATTTTTAAGAAGCGGTTTTTTATATGAAGCAAATTTGAAAATGATAGGATTTCTATTCTCATATCATTTAAGTCAATGATGAGAATTTTGTAATTAAAAGTCTATGTGACAACGAAGACGAAGGTTTGAGATATTGGACTACACACCATCGTTTTACGGCAGTCGTGCTTGAAAGTAGATAGATAGATAGATAGATAGATAGATAGATAGATAGATAGATAGATAGATAGATAGATCTGGTAATGGTAATATCAGCCGTGTCAGTCAATGGCCGAGTAGACAAGACTTCTTTCAGTATCTTTCACTTAAAACGCTTTTTTTTACGAAAACAGTTACTATCCCAAGTCAAGTGGCTTTTTACCGCCCTTTCCAGTATTGAAGTCGGATTTTTCTTCCTAAACTTTTCTGTTTGATGTGGCGTGGAATGTCAACATCTTGATTGTGTCATTATTTTCTCTTCGAGTTGTAGGTGCTATCCATTTTAGCTGTTGCTACTGTTGGTAGTTCTCAAGTGATGTGGTTTCTATTATTTGGTACACTTCTTTGTGAATCTACCCACAGTGCTCAAAGAAAGATGATCTTTATAAAAACCCTCACCAAACTTTTTCACCATTGATCTTAGAAAGCGGTTGTATACAATTGACAGTTTAGATATTTCTGAACAAATGTGGTGCCATGTATGTCATCCATATGAAAATCTCAAGCTGATGACGCATGACACTAGTTTTCAGGTTGAAGTTTTAGTTTCGTAATTAACTGCCGTGTTGGGCGGAACTACCTAATCAATATTTAATTTCTTTTTTCTCCTATATTTACCGGGTATGGTGGGTAAATTGTCACCCTTTTATATATTTAAACTGACGCATGCCTGTTGTTTGTTTTTATGTTATTGACTGCACATTACTGTAGGGTCAGTTGGGTACCCTCTGTGAGAAAAAGAGCACTATGACACAATTCACTCCGCCAGAAATTTGGAAACGGTATGCTTACTGCTTGGAATTCGCCCCGGAAGCTTCAATACGAACATTTCAGAGTGTTTGGGTGTAAATCTGAGGACAGTGCAGAAGATTCAAAAAGAATAGGATGAGTCTAAGGATGATTACGAAGCTACAGTAGCTCGGAAATCTCACTCTGATCGTTCTGATAAAAACGAACTTCCGAATTTGTTGGAGAGGGCCCCAGATTCAACACGGGAGCCTACATTAAGTGCCTTTCGGAGGTAGTAGTACCCAGGGGCTAGAGAGTGACTGCTAGAAGACCCTGTGTGTGGCACACAAGCAGGAGAACCCAGTTATGGCTGCCAGACAATGTCTGCGTCAACTCCTTACATCTGGCCACCTAACTCCCCAGACTGCAACGCCCTTGATTATTATGTGTCGAGCGCAGTTAAGCAAGAGACCAACAAAACTCCTTGTAACACCAAAGATGAACTGAGAGCAAGGATTATGGCAGCATTCACCAACTTAAAACTTCGAGAGTTTCAGGAAATTCCGAAGTCGTCTAGAGGCCATGGTTGAAGCCAATGGCGATTTTATTGAATAAATTTACTCTTTGGTATTTCAAGATATTTTTTGTGTAATTTTGGTAAATATATCTGTTAACATGGGATGCCAATGTTGTTTTCATTTTTTGCGTAATTTCGACAGCAATTTATCCATCTGTAATTCGTTATCGCTGATCGAGAGGCCAAGATATTTGAAGTATTTAGTATTTACTAATTCCACATCTTGAATTTTTATGACGGATTCATGGTAGGTGTCATCACTGCTTTCATTTCAATTCCAGATCATAGTTTTTTTTGGTTTTAGAAAAGGTTTATCTTGAGAACTATTTCTTGGAACACATGATAGATTCATGAACACCTATGTCATCAGCATAGAACCCCCACCCCCACCTCATCATCAGTATATTGGCCTAGGGAGGGAAAGCAGGATCGTTGTCTTCTGTTAGGAGATTCTTTTGAGATGCAGTATGGAATGTATAAATGGTCAGTGCTCATCTCATCATATCTGTGTTTGTAAATGTGCAGGGCTTAGACATTAAATGGGGCGGGGTTCTTATTTTCTCCTTGCTGTACTCCTGAGGATATCTGAAATGTTTCTGTATTGAGGTTCTTGTGAGATATATTATGATTCTGTAGATTGATACTGTTTCTCTATTAGCTCAATGTGTTCAGTGGATTCCATGCTTGGAAGACAGTTTCTGGTGAATGAGAATAGGAAATTTCTATTGATGTGACCATATGATGCTCTGAGGTTGACAACGCGGGCATACAATTTATTAGAGTTCTTTGATAATATATATATATATATATATATATATATATATATATATATATATATACAAAATTGCATCACTTATCAGAACCAAAAGCAAACTGGGTTTTGAGGAATTGCCTTTCCTAAAATGATGATTGCCTCGTTAATATAATCTTCCTTAATACTTTCACCGTAATAGATCCGGTTATCATCCCTCTGTATGTGTGAGCCTCTTCAAGTTTACCTTTCTGCTTCCATAATGCATTAATGTGCAACAGACACCCACATTTTGCTGGGTGCATTTCTGATTACAAACTTCTTTCATAAAATAGAGGAAATGTTGAATTCGGAGATGTAGGTGGGAGCTAAGTTCAGCCTCAATGTAGAGTGAGACTTCATCATTCCTTAATTTTTTTAATAACGTTCTTAATTTCCTCATCAATCAATTTATTATTGTTTATGTTTGTGAAAAAAAACTTTGCAATGGATATTAGTCTATGATTTATTTCTTCGGGCATTTTAAGTTTAGTCTGGTCAGGTTTGAAATGCGATTCGAAATGTTTTTTGAGACGAGGATATTTTTTCTGTGGAATTTTTGATTGTATAATATTATCGTAGTTTTTAACTTTTCTCCACCTTTTAAAATATTGTCTAAGTTTTCTGTTATCATTAATTTCATTTGCAAGTTTCCGGAGTTACTGGTTTCTTAGGGTTTTTTTTTTTTATTTTCTTTTATTTAGTATTTTCCTTCAATTTTCTCTCTTCAGTTGTTTTTTTTTTCTTGTACCCATTTTTTCAACTCAAATTTATCGACCCACCATTTGTGGTCATATTTTTCCTTCTATGTCTTCTTGGGATGATCTCACGTGTTTCATCTAACAACAATATTAGATTCTTCTGTGTTTTGTTCTAGATTTACTGACATCGATTATAAACTCGAGCTCATTAAAATTCTAAAATCACCTTTCATTATTAAGGACTTAGATGTTATACGTCGGAGTTTTCCTTGCTTTATGTGGGCGGAAGCGAGATATTTTGTTGACTACTATTATCAGTTTAGTTATAAGTACTAATGTGATTTGATTCAAAGCAAGAGTTGTATACTACCGAATCTATGAGTCTGAGTTGCTGAAGTCAATAATCTTTTTCGTTATAATATCTGGACTATGACATTTAGTGCATGTGATGATCAAACCATGTGCTAAGAATGGAGTAATTTAGCAAGATTGTTAATTGACGCTAGATAGATAGATAGATAGATAGATAGATAGATAAACAAACTGAGATTGATAGATAAACAGTCTGAGATAGATTGATAGATAGATAGATAGATAAAAAACTTAGATAAAAAACTTTATTCACTTGATCAGAAATTTCTTCGAAAAAGATATTGAGATTTATGATCTTCAGTTCAAAGTAAAATTCGTTGAGTAGGAAAAAAAAAAAACTTATCGAACAGTGAGATGAAAAGCTCATAAACGAGAACTGATCGCATGTGAAGAAATTCTCGCCAAAATGTCACAAGTTGAAATGCTTCGACCTTTCTGAGTCGACAGGTAAAGGAAATAATCCGTCTATAATGGCTGATTATTTTGCCTGTTTGAGTTGAGTGAATGCTCACAAACCCATTCTCAACCTGAGGAGGGGCATAGGTCGTACGGTCATGGGGATTGTAGAAGTTATGGGCAAAGACAGAAAAATCGATACCCGAGCTAAAGAAACAAAGAGTATAATGAGAGCATTACATTGCCTTATACGATGATGATATGCATTGAAAAGAGAGAAAAAACAAACAGATCTCACCTTCTTATATGTGGGCAGACAGAAAGTCAGATAGATAAATAGATATAGATAGATCTTCTTATTAGACATATGTAATAATTGGCTCTTTTGTAGCTCTAAATAATCTTTTCCTCTTTACCATCCATCCCAGTTCATATTCTGTTATCCATTTTCACAAGCTCATTAGGCAGTTAATCACTGTTCTTCTTTGTCCTTCTTGCCATTAACATGTCCTGTGAGTATCTAATTCTCTACGTCCTAGAAATATGTTCTAGAAATTTCAACACTGATTTTTCTTTCTGTTTTCCTTACTCGTTACACATATGCTCCGCTGATAAGTTTCTCAGTGTCCTCCTGTAGATTCACATCTCTGTTTCACCGAGTTTCATCTTCATATGTGAAGAAATTCGCCAGCATTCACTGCCATATAAGAGTGTTGATATAACATAGCAGTTAAGTCCTGATTTATTTTTTCTAACGAAATCTTCCTCAGGTTTCTTATTATTTTGCTTCAGTTTTGGAAGGTTCAAATGTGACTTCGGATTTCAGTGTAACGCTTTCCTTGTCTGTTAAAACATTTCTCGGATGTTTCAATTCATGTACTTTCTTTATTTTGACATTTCCAATTTCTAGCTCGCATCTTGGGCAGTTCTTCTTGCTGACAACCTTAGATTACATAATCATGCAATTAATGACTACTC